AGTTACACTCTTGCCGTACAACATTAATAAACGAAGTTATTTTGCCTGTGTCGGGGACGTCCCGGAGGAAGTTCTCAGCCACACTTGGAGCCAGTGAAAGGCCTCTCCCAGATGAATAACAAAATAGAGCTCCTGCAGAGTTCAAGAATAACAGAATTCAGGAAGAAGCAAGTAGGTGTATTCACCTCTACATGCTGCTATTGATGTGTCAAGGACTTTTGACAGCCATACTGAGAAGGTAGGGACCTTGAAAAGTCAGTAGAGTGGTGCTGTACAGCAAGATCATCAAGAACTGAAGCCTTCTCTTTTTCTGAAAAAGCTATGAGCATATACTTCCTGCATATTTCTACCTCATAAACTGGCTGGGGTGTCCATTCCAAAAGGGAGGGTACATGCAATTTATTAAGAAAGTGGCCAGATACTTATTTACAACGGCTCTGCTGAAGGAGCAGATAAATTGAGATAAGGGAAATGAAGAGCTCTCTAGGTGTGTTGGCAGAGAAAAGTTCTCACTGAAGGTTGAATTAAACACTTCAGGGCATGCAAGCCTTAAAGATAAGCCAAGAACTTTGGCTGTGGACATACAGAATAGTGTTTTCATGGCTCCTCCTGAGCTAATGGGAAGAAAAAACTAATTCGTTTGATAAGAACAGCTCTTTGACCCTTTTCCTTGTTTCAAACTTGAACTGTACCTGTTCTGGGGGTGCGTGTTTTTGTAAACTCGAGTGTTTCATTAATTCTCCAGCGAAAAAGAAGAGGCTGGTGTCAAAGCATCCAGGAAGTATTTGTGCTTGAGACATTTGAAGATGATGCCTGGTTAGATGGAGTAGATGGCACTGGGCCTATTTCTCGACACCACATTTTGAAAATCACCCATGTGCAGCAGGACAGTTTAGAAGCAGATCGCAGGAGAGTGGAAAATGCAAAAGACAGGTTTATTCACTGGAAACAGTGAGAAAAACGGGTGATGGGAGTTACTAGAGAGTTGAGTAACACTGTAATGAGATTCTGATCTTTATTGACTTTCCCAATGTTTTCTAAAGGTTTTGGTTGTTGGGTTGTTGTTGGTTTTTTGGGGGAGGGTCGCAAGGTTCATAAGGTTTATATCTCGTGATCAATAAAAATGACAGGAAGCTGAAAGAAGTTGGTTCTCTAAAGATAAATTGACTTTAGAGAGAGGGAGAGAAAGTGTTTACACCTGGAAACTGAAAGCAAAGCAGAGACCAAAAGAGGGTGCTCTGATAGATGTTATCACACTCCAGGGTCTGCAAGTGAGCTATAGGAAGAGGACTGTGCTTAGCTGTGTTTAACAACAGAGGCACTGTGCATGGAGAGATGTTCTGAGATTCCACCCGGTATCTTCAGCTGAAAGTCAAGTGACTACACACTCCTCCACGAAATGCCAAATTTACATTACACTATCTCAGTGCCTGATGACGCCTTGCGAACAAGACTTTTGCTGGAGATTGTCTTTTGCAGATTAAACTTCCCAGACTGTAACACAGATCAAAGCAAGGTGTGACTGTTTCCCTACTGTATTGAGAAGGGAGCAGTGTGAAAAGCAATTAAAAGTATTTCTACATAGGTTTGTTGTTGGGTTGCTTTTATTTTTTTAAAATCTTAGATGATCTTCCCAGCAACGGAAATGAATAGCTGAGGGCATCAACCTATAAACTCAATGACTGATGTTTTCACTCTACCACTGTAGTAACCAACAAGAAACTTACAGACATGAGTTAGGCTGTTCATATAAATTAAAGTTTATGTGTCTGGGATCCTAAAGGTCCATCCAGGTCCTATTGAAATAGCTCAGGAAAGTCCTCCTGGCCTCATAACATAATGGATGGAGCCTACAGCAAGTTGATTCTAACTCAGTGGATACTTTTGTCTTTGGTGGGAACTGGATGGGGCACATTTGAAAGCTTTGAGAAGGATGCTGGTGACTCTACTTGATGCAGATGTTTCCACCAAAGTTAACTTCAGACACTGGACTGCTTTTATAGTGAGTGACTGAACTATTTTCGGAAAGAGAAGTCAGAGCAACAAAGTTAGTGTTTTTCTCTGGAGGCTTCAATGAAGACATCTATTATTACCCACTCTTTGTACAGGTAAGGAGCACCTGGCTCCCGAGCCTAATGTTAACATCTCTGAATACCTCCTAGCTCCCAGTCCTCAGAGGGTTGAACAGCTCGAGATTGGGAGATGTGGCACCCTAAGACTCCCCATTCCGTTACAAGGCCACAGGGACAACACGCTCAACGAGTCCTCTGAAGCCTGAAACAGTGTTTAAGAAAGTGTCTTTAGTCCAGAAACTGTGATCCAGTGTTTTGGATATAACTTAACAATGAAACAAAAATGTACACAGTACAAAGTGAAAACACTCTTTGTCTTGGCATGGGCTCCATTTCACAGGTTCTTTTCTGCCACTAGTTGTTCCCTGAATTAATCTAAAGCTCAAGAAAACCCACATCAAGCCACTTAGGGAAAACAAGTTAACTGGGTCCTTTTCTTGGTCTTCTCCTGTGGATTCCTGCAGGCTCCTGCAGGAATTTGCCTCCTTCCTACAGCTGAGCTCTTTGCATGGGCTTCCGCACAGCACTTCTCTCTCCTGGGTGGGATTTTTTTCACAGAACTTAACCATCGCAATTGTTAAGTGTCATGGCATGACTGATCTGGAGACTTTTACAGTGCAGACACATCCCACTCAACCTGTCACCCAGGTTGTCTTGATAATCTAGTCAATACAGTCAATGGAGGCAAGGCCATGATTCACCTCATCCCAAAGCTGATGTCTAAAATGGGGCAGATGAATCGTGCCCTAGAAGTGCCTGTTTCTCTCCACTGACTGATTACAAAAGCAGGCTAAGGTGAGTAGATCAGCTGGAGATGTCAATGCTGCAGACATCAGAAGGTAAGGCGAGATGAAGAGTTCCTGGTCAATATGAGCTGTCTTCCTCCCTCTCTTAATGCAATGGGAAGAGAGAGGCACTTCTGGAGGGCAGTTCATGCTGTTTGACTCATCTTCCCTCCCTGAGGCAGGATGAATTGTCCTCTAATCTTAAACGAGACTAATCCTCTCCCAAAAGTGCAACTGAGATGGAAAGAGGTATCTAAGTTTAGGAAGTGAGCTGAAAATCCTTTGCTTTCCCAGGCACCTCCTACCTTGTCCACCTAAAGTTCATTTACTGGAGGGCACATTCTTACCTCAAATGATTTTCTTGGTTCTAGACTCCTACCTGGGATTATTAGGGATCCAGAAATGGATGTCCCTATGTCTCACTTGCCTGGAAAGGACTGATTTGTAAAGCCTAGTCTATGCAGTTAACAAAGCCACTGAGATGTGGTACCTGACCCTCTGAATGTCCATCTGCTTTTTCTCTTCTGTACCCTCTTGGCGAGATACCCACCAGGAAAGGAGTTAACTGGCTGCAATGACCCTTCTCCCATAAAAAGATCAGACACTTTAAACCACTTTTTATCCTAGCTAGAGAGGTGCTAAAGTCAAGCTAATTTTCTAATTTTCCAGCAATGATAGAATTCTTGTACTTTTTCTCAGTCAGGGGAAAAGAGAGTGAAGGCATGTTCCCTGACTGCCCTGTTGATAATTCAAACACACCAGGCTGTTCCCAAATGAAAACCACATAGCAAAAATGAATGTAAACAGAAATACACGCTGCCCAGACAGGTCTCTGTCATTACTTCTGAGCAGAAAAGTCAATCAAGAGATTTAATTAGAAGAAAAGGAAATTATACTCTAAAAATCCCTTCAGTTTTAGTAATCAAGGTTATTGTTAGAAGCACTGTTAAAAAACACTTTTAAAATGTATCTGATTAGCTACATATCTGCTGATCTCTCTGCATAGCTTACTTGCTTGTCGCTAAGGCTTCAACCAACATAATGGTTCATGGACACTCCTTTCAACAGACTTCCATTTGGCTGCGCACAGAATTTGCACCCGAGTTTTGTTGAGGATATTGTTTTGGGGGGTGTGGTGGTGTTATTTATTTATTTCACCCTCCTCACTTTAACCAAAGCAATTCACAGATTGATGGTCAAAGCAGGCTTTCCATATGCTTGTGCCAGTACTGCAAAGCTGGCATGGTTTTGTGAAATTACAGCCTTACTTTTGAAAATTCCCAGTTTGAAACTGGTGTGAAAGTAAAGTGAAAATGTGCTAAACTAATATTCAGAGGGATGCTGGCAGCTGTTTTAATAATTTATTTTTGAAACACTTCAAACTGATTAGAAAGCCCCAGTATCAAGCTTTACAAAGCACATGCTTGGATTAAACAGGTGTGGAAATGCTTTGCTAAATGGTAGAAAATCTTCTGTAGACCATACTTTCAGTGATGTTACCAATATTCCAGGCATGGCTCCCAACTTGCATGCACCTGTACGTGACTGTTTCTAGTTCCGTGAGTACCGTTGTTCACACAGGAGAATAGCATTGATATTGGACCCATATTAAGACATAGGAGAGTTTTTCCCCATGGTACTTCTATTCTAGCAGGGCTACATTTCCATTCCCTTTCCACTACAGCACAGAAAATTTAACTTCTTATGGTAGCGAACCTATGTAGCACTCCCACAACATTTAGCTCAGAGTTCAGGTTTTTAAGTTCTCAAAGTCCAAATTGCTGGAGTCTTTAGGGTCAGTTTCAGTGCACAGAAGTTATCTGATAGGGTTCAAATATATAGAGCACACTGCTGAATTGTGTGATGGTTGTCAATTTTTTGTGTTCCCCTTCCAAAGACTTGGAGCATGGTGTCTTCTGCTGTTGATGTTATTGCTTTGTGTAGCTCTGAAAGTGCTTTTGACTATCTAATCCCTGGGTCTCTGCAACTGCCAAAATTTCCTATAAAACCTACCTGCTTGGCTTTCAAAGAAATACAGGTTTGACCCTCTGGTTACAAAGGAAACTAGCTGTATGAGCTGAGCAGCTTTGGGAAGAAGCAGCACAGTGATGGATTAAGGCTTTGAGAGGACGACAAAAAGGGAAGGGAGATATTAAAGGTAGAGCTGCTTGCCTTCTTGGGCCTGTAAGAAACTTCAGGAGAAAGATGATGTTGTTCTGGGGAGGGATGACAGTGGAAAGGACATTTTCTGGAGAGGGGAATGCAGTGGAACTTAAGATATTGATTTTCTGTCCCCATTCTTGTGAACCAAGTACAAAGGTGAAAGACATCCCTGACAGCATGTCTTTTTCCCTGTTTTGTTTTGTTTGTTTGTTTTTTTCTAGGTCCTTGGCAATTGGTCACCAGTATTCCTCCTTGGGGACTCAGCCCATCCTCTGTGGGAGCATCCCAGGGCTGGTACCCAAGCAGCTACGCTTCTGTCGGAACTATGTGGAAATCATGCCCAGCGTAGCAGAAGGGGTAAAGATTGGAATCCAGGAATGCCAACACCAATTTCGAGGGAGGAGGTGGAACTGCACGACTGTCAATGACAGCTTAGCCATCTTTGGACCTGTGCTAGATAAAGGTGAGTGCAGTGCTATGGGTTTAGCAACAGAAGCATTCATGGTGGAGTAGCGGCAGAGATCCTGAGAAACCTACTGTGAATTCATTTGCTTCTGATAAAGTATCATGTAAAATGGGCTGGAGGTAGGACTTGAGCTTGATAAAGGAGGCATGTGACGTAGGCAGGGAAAATTTTGTTGGCCCAGGACCCCATCAAAGCAGTTCAAACCTGACCCTGTCTTTTGTAGAGACAAGATAATTAATCTTTCCTATAGGGATAGCAAGTACATGTGTGCCTCCACAGTGTAAGGAGGGTGGTTATCCACCACCTCCATTGTACAGCCAACATCCGAGCACAGGTAAACACTATTTCTATCTCAAACCTCTACTGGGATTGTATAGGTGACCCAGAGAACTGGGAAGTGCCCCATGTGGCAGTGTGTAGAGAGTGAGGTCATCTCTGACCCTGCTTGAAGCAGGAGGTTGGACTAGAGACCTCCCAGGGTCCCTTTCAACATGAAATATCCTATGATCCTGTGCCCCTTGGAAGAAACACAAAGGATTATTGTGTTTTCAGTGGTCAAGCTGGACGTCTGGCTCCTTTTCTGACCCCATGGCATTTCATGCTGCATTTTCAGGTCTCTTAATGATTGCAGAGGGGAAATTATGAGCTGTTGAGGATGGTTCCTAGGTGCTGGACTTACCAGTTAACATCACTTTGGATACCATAGCGGGAGACAGTGAAGATCAAAGGCCTGAGGAAATCACCGTCAATTAATGGTTCTGTTTTCATTGGAAAATTAAGACAGAGTGTTAATTCAGGCAATTAATTCTGACACAGCACCCACTGATGTAAGTGGGACCTCTTATAAATGTTTTTCCCTAAGTCATTGAATGCAGTGGGATTTAAGCACTTGGCTAAATCTGAGTATCTGTAACTTATCCCCTATAAGTTGGCAGGAGCCTATTTTAGCTTGCAAGAGTTGTTTTATCCTTCTTTGCCCTTGTAGTATGCCTTTTAAAATCTAGTCTGCTCCTGACGGTCTCAGTAATTCTGGGTCAAGCTCTGCCTTTCCCTTTAGCACAAAGGGGTTCATCCAAAAGGTAGACTCCCATTGCATTTGATTCCTGCCCTGACGGTAAATTCAGGTGCCCTGTGCAGAGCTGTGCAGGAATATGGCTGCCTCCTCTTAGGAGAATACCAGCAGAAGACGCTTGGAAATCTTCCTTGCTTGCTTGCTTGCTTGCTTGCTTGCTTGCTTGCTTCCTTCCTTCCTTCCTTCCTTCCTTCCTTCCTATAGAGAGCAAGGCCTTGATTTGTATCATAGCAGGGCCTCCACCAGACAGAACAGGCATTTTACATGCACCAAGCAGGAGAATGGGTGGTTTCAGCTGGTGGGGTTACCCTGTTAGAGTTGGGTAAAAGGCACCATATTAAAGCTAGTGTCATTATTCTGGTTTAGCAGTGAGAGATCATCCCAAAATAATGATGCCTGCAAGATCTGCAGTTTAGTGCACTTGGGCCCATATCCGTGTCATACCACAATGTTTTGCATGTGATTAAAGTACCTGTTCTGAGTACATCACTCCTGGATGACTATAGCAGTTGAATTATGACAGTACAGCTAAGCTGAGTATTTTTCCCATACGCAGAAGCCCAACATGACCTGCCCAAGATCATTAACTGGGCACAGGCAGTAAGTGAACCAGATAACCCAATGTCTTCACCTCATCACCAGGCTGGATGTCCTCAAGGATACATGGAGCACCTCATGCTCCCAGATGGTCTCAGATTAGATGCTCCACATCTCCTGTAGCAATTATACCCTGTGCATGAGGAAAGCGATCCTTACCTCCTTGCTGACCGAAGGATCCCCAATTCCATAAGCTGCCAAACCCTCTTACCTCACAATGGTGTCGACACGAAGGGTCTGTCCCTGCTTGAGACTGCAGGACTTCAGTAGCCAGGTTCAGGGAGGGAAAAAAGGCTGGGACGATTTCATAACTGAAGAATGTTGTTCCTTGAGGGAGAATCAAACCACCCTTCAGTTTTACTTCACCTACAGCAGGAGGGGGGAGAAAAAAACAGCTCAGTCACATTCTTGTGCGGCAGATCCCCCAGGGTAGGAACATATTTGAGCTCCTACCCAGAAAGAGAGAAGGAGAAAAGGAGAAAAAGAAAGCAAGCAAGCAAAACTCTATTTTGCAGCTTCGATTTTAAGTCACTTGAGATCTAACTTAGGATCTAACTGCAGCTTCTCATTTGAGTCAATAGGGACCCCATCCTCCCTCAGCACAAACCAGTGTAGTCACCAAAGCAACTCCCTTTTGGCTTACATGACTGTCTGTAATTCTTTCATTGAAAAGGACTGATTTTAATGCCTTCAGGAAATACTTTCTGGGCCCAAAACTCAATGAGGTTCTCTCACTTGCTGATTTTGTATCTCATTGCTAATTCGGGGCTATGCTTGAGCTGTGATTCAGCAGTGTCAAACTGTCACCAGACTCTAGTCCTGTTAAGAGCCATATTCTGATATATCATCTAAATTGGACTCTTTTTTTTTCCCATCGGCCTGTTTATGAAAGAAAACCCATGTTTTAGCTACAACTCTACTTATGTTTGGGGTTTTTTTTTAACATTTCCATAGCCAGGCTTAATGAATCACATATTAAACAGCAGTGGTATTCATGAGCTCAGCGACAAGGGAATGGTGATGTTCAGGGATACAGACCTGCTGCTATTTGGAGACAATATTTGACAGACTTGACCCTATGTCCCTCTAGCTCTTCATATGTCACTTGGGACATATGAACAGCAGAAATACCCCATCCCATCCAGCTATTTGAATAATCTGTTTTGCAGGTCCTTGACTGTGCAATAAACGTTCCCTATTCAAATGGAACAGAGTCACCTGCCTTGCTATGCTGTGCTACCTGCATGGGGAACCATTTGGGAATTAGCAGGAGGTGAAATTACTACAGGTCTGTTAGAACAGGGATTTTGCTCCTCCTTTGTGGTCTTGGAGAGTATGAGCAGCTGTGCATCTCCATGGAGAAACAGACAGATAGGTGCCACTGTTGGGTCTTTCTTGCAAAGCACTGGGAAATAGGTGTCACAGGTACCCTAGACTATTGGGAATGCAAAGAACAGGATGCTTAAACAGGAAAAGAAGTGAGCCTAGCTGAACTTACCTATCTGTTTATCAGACATAGCTAAGAGGCTAGAGTTCAAGTAATTTCTAGTCTCCCAGAAGTTCAAATCTCAACTACTGGACAGTGGATATAACCCTTCACTTGAAGTTTTCTATCAGAGTAATTTCTAGAGGAAAACATTTGATCCCATTTGTTACTTCACTTGTATTGTATGAGACAGTGGATAGAACATGGCTATAGCCACACAATCTTAACTGATCACCTTAGCCCAGCCACTTACCTGAGAGGTTTGGCAGTTTGTAAGGCATTTGCAATATCTTTCAGTTTCCCAAGGACAAGGGAAGATTTTTCAGTTGTCTTTAAGAATATACAAGATAAAACTTTGGAGGATGTAGTAGAGTGATGTGCCATCACTGACAACAGAAATTGAATGGCACAATCTAACAGGCATTTTCCATCTCAAGTGCCACATATTGGATATCCTGTCTTTTGCCCTGGTTTTAGCTTTTGTGTACTGAAGACACTGTTCATGTTTAAGCTGTGTTGCATTTTATAGTTTCTCAATGCCATGCAAGTTCTCTTGGAAACTCCTCTGGGCATAAATATGAACCAATCTCAAGAGAAGTAGTACAATAAAAGCTTATCATGGCCCTGTGTCTTTAAAGGACCCCAGAACATAATTAAGTCAAAATAAAAGTTTCCTCCCTCTCCTCCCCTATTCAATAAAAGTAAATTACCTCAAACTATTTAAGCCCCCAGTTCGTTTAAATGTAAAAAGGGAGCCCTTGTCTATCTATTTCTTTCACTCACTCCCACCTCCTTCTGCTAAAGACTGGCTGGGGCTTTAAACCTGCCAGCTGGACTGAGAAATGGTTAATAGTTATTGTGGAGGAGCAGCTTTTAATGAACTATTGAAGAATGATACATTGATGGAGTAATGGGAGTTTAAGTCGCTCTGTAATGAAACAGGTTCTCAGCGCGGACCCATTGTGGTGTAAATACGGCACGTCTCTCCCACTGTTTGGTCAGGACTAAATAGCAGAGGCCAGAGGGGGGTCAGCTTACTGGGTCTCCGCTTTAGTTAATCAATCTGATTGGATTAGGGTCACTGCGATCCCTAATAATGTCAAAGGTTACGCCAAACTGGATTAAATGCTTTGTTGGGGAGGGCTCAGATTCTTTCAGCTTTCAACGATGGGTCTTGTTTATTAGAGTTTAACACTCATGCAACCTTGGGAAGCCGCACCGTCCCTTTTTGTACGTCGGGGCATTTGCCGGCATGCGAGGGGGTTTGAACGAGCTGGGGCGGGTGCGTGCACGTCCCGTTGCTTTGTCAAGTGTCTGCACCCGTCGGATGTGCCCTCTGAGGACATATATCAAATTCCCCACTGGACAAATGAGAGCCTAATGGGTAATGTGGAGGCTTGGAGGTATAAATTAATTCCGGAAACAATCATTGGCCACTGCCCCAGCTAGAAGGCAAGTGATGAGAGCCACAAAAGCATTGGAGTGACCCACTGTTTGTACCCCCCTGGGTTAACCCCATTCCTGTCCAGCAAAGAGACATCCTTTTTGATACAGCTCCTGTTTGTGCAGTTACCAGCATGAGCATGAAATGAAATACGGAGTATTTGAGACTGCTTCTTTATTATTAAACTGGGTAGATGTCTTGCCTTCCAGCACTTCCAACTCAAATCAAGGCGGGATGGGATGGGATGGCATGTCCCTGTCATCTTATCTGTGAAGCCTGAAGAATTTCTATTGCCTTCACTCATGATGTTCCTCCAGATGACACCGTCTTATAGACATGGCAGAGTGTCCAAATACCAAATGCAGGGGAAAGGGGCGGCAATAACAGTGTGTCACTGG